CCGTGGAGGTATTTGTCTATCTGGGTGGTAATTAACAGAGAGAAACCTCTCTGCTGATAATTACCACCGACGAGATACTATCGCCGATGAGATACTATTAAAGACCAACATCCTTACAGAAGTTCGCGTCCTTGTGAATATTGAAGTGATTAAGAGTTAAAAACTGATAATATTGTACTAATTTTATGATTTATTAGTTTAGTAGACGAATTTATGCATTTATAACTCAATAATACTCGATTTTTCTTTAAAATTGAAATTTCAGTGTTTTATATATATATATATATCATCAAAATTTGATTATCAATAAAGATGATGGCCCGTATTTAGAACGCGCTTTTATCGATAAAAGCGCATATTTATCTCTGAAATTCTATAATATACGTGACGTAAAGTATAGTATGTTAGCGCGCTAACATCATTGTAAGCGCGTTCTGAATACGGGCCGATAATTGCAGAGAAAAAATTGTGATTTTTTTGCAATATATAGGATATTACAGCTTTACAAGTATGTATATTTATTTATGGGATATTTATGTAATAAAAAATCATGAATTTAATAATACATGAGCCAAATATTTATGTTAATAATAGAAAATTTATATCAATTGTTGATAATGTATGCGTTCTTGAATTACCTCCGGGCCCTTGGGGCCCTTTTTATACCGCTGAAAATTTGCCCAGGGTTGACAGTCTTTAATAATATCTCGTCGGTGATCGAAGTTAATCAAGGTCGATAAGTTGGAAAAACAATAGACACAGGCAATAGGCACAGGCAACAAGGAATAACGAGCCGTCCAATTAGAGCTCTGGGATATAATATCGAACTTCTACCCCAAAGCTCTGATTGGACGGCTCGTTATTCTCTGTTGCCTATGCCTATTACCTGTTTCTATTGTGTTTCCAGCTATAGTAGACTTTTTTAAATTCCAAATTCGACAATAGTGACATCTTTCATTCATTTCTTATAATTAATATAGGCCTTCTACAATAAGTCACAAGTCAGAACCTTAGAAGTCTAAGTCCGGATCTACAATAGGTGTTTCAAGTTTTAAGCTGTAAGAAATTGACCAATTACAATCGAATGCGAGAAGAATAATAGATTGTGATTCATCCATTTCTTATGGCTTAAGGCTTAAAAATTTACTGTAGATCCGGGCTTAAGGGTCCTCTACATAGCAGTCGTAGACGGTCGTGGAGTCTTAAGTCGTAGGAAACTGACCAATTCCAATCGAGCATTCTCTTTATATTTGATTGTGATTGGTTGGTTTCCTACGACTTAAGACTCCACGACCTTCTACGACTTCTATGTAGAGGACCCTTTAACCAGTCTTAATCAAGTCGTTTAAGTTGGCTATTGGCCAACTTCACCGATTATGACTTAAGATCGCTTAGAACTTCTTAGCGGCTTATTGTAGAAGGGCTATTATATATCGTTGTTCCTCGCTAAACGCATTCATCTGTCCTTATCTAACATATTGCAACGCCATCTCTTAGAAAGAGATCAATTAAAATAGTGCTCGGGTCATGGCTTCATGTCAACTTTAATAAGGCCACGACACAGACTTTTGCGTAATGCATAAGCCCGGATTCTCATACGGGCAACAGCGCTTTGACACCGAACGCTGATTGGTGAAAAATGAATGATGCAGGTAAATTTTACCCCCACAACCGTCTTTTCACCAATCAGCGTTCGGTGTCAGAGCGCTGTTGCCCGTATGAGGATCCGGGCTAAGGCTGGATCCTCATACAGACACCGGTGCTTTAACACAGGGCATTACTTCGTGAAAAGCCGGTTGTGGGAGTAAAATTTTCCCCCATCACCCGTTTTTCACCAATCAGCGTTCGGTGTCAAAGCGCTAATTGGTGAAAAGTCGGTTGTGGGGGTAAAATTTACCCCCATCTCCCGTTTTTCACCAATCAGCGTTCGGTGTCAAGCGCTGTTGCCCGTATGAGGATCCGGGCTTAAGCAGCAGGAATACAAAGAATGCTCTTATTCTAGCCTGTTCTAACCTCGAAACGTGTGATAGATTTAAGAGACATTCTTTTACAAACCGAACACTTTTTTTTTCGACATTTTTAAATCGCTTTAAATTTTTTTTTACCAATTGTAGGTATAAAATAAGCGAACACGTGTATTGGGATTTAAAAAAAAAATTTATTTTCGAAGAAATAGCGATTTTAAATTTTGAGTTTTGCATTTTATGGTAATTTTCAAGTCGTCGTATCTACGTCGTTTTTTATAGTAGAACAATTTTTTTTCATTTCAAACGTTATTACATCAGCTTTTTGATGAAATTATGTTCTTAACCTCAACTTTAAAAAAAAATACTTTTTTCTGCAAATTAAATCTTAAAAGTTAATTTTGACCATGGCACCCGGAGTTAATTTATTTTTTACAAATACTATCGGATTCCTCGGAAAATTTACTAAAAAATATGAAAATTTCAGAATGGCGTTTTTAAAACTCGCCTGGGAATTAATTAAATAGTCCGGCAACTCGAGGACGCGCGCGCGGCGAGCGGGCGCTAACTTTCTCGTTTCGAGCGGCGCTTGCGATATCTGCATGTCTCGTACGATATTTTCAACTTTTCAGTTTAAAAGAACAATTATATCTACATTTATGCCCATTTCCACTAATATAGATTAACTTTAATCTCGGTTCAACTTACTCTTCGTCTTTTCTTAATCTTTAGAACTAGAAAAAGACAAAGAGTAAGTTGAACCGAGATTAAAGTTGATCTGCATTGGTGGAAACGGACCTTAGTGTAACGAAACA